CAGTGAGCTACAGCAAACCAGGCAGTTTTAAAGGGATAGTTCACCCAAAATGAAAATTCACTCATTCTACTATCTGCTCTACTCATATCCACTCACCACTCACCACTGTAAAACACTTTTTGAGTTTCAGGTGTAACAGCGTTGCAGCCAAATCGAATACAATTAAAATGAAATATAATGAAATAAATGGCGACCACTTCTTCAAACGTGAAAAAACAACAGAAAAAGAACATCAAATGCCTCCATACTGCTCCTGTGGTGTCCTGACATTCAAATTCAACTCTAAACGGTGTAATTTACACCATGTTGTTTCTAACATGTGAAGAAGTGGTCACCATTTACTTACCCCTGAAACTCCTAAAGTCTTTTGAGGACTCAAGCACTTCACCCACCGTTCCATCGGCATTGTGGTGAATTAATTTTAATTTTGGAGTAAACTATCCCTTTAAGATAGAATGGATTAGAATATAGTTTTGATGTGGATCAGCATTAACACATAAATGCTTGTGATATACCAAGAAAAAAGCTTAACCATCCACCCCAAAGAAGTATAATGTGAAATTTAAGTGGTTCCTTTCTAATTTGCACAACTGTCTGCATGTTTAATAAGGTGAGAGCAATGTTATGTAGAGTCAACTGAATGTCTATGAAGTGAAGCTGGTGGATATGACCTGAGAAAGTCCTAATTAAAATGACTTGACCTACATTAACATGCACTGCTGGTGCCCGCGCCACATGCTTTGATAAATAAACAATCACTTGACACCACTTCCAAGACTCCGCAAACCCTGGAGGAGACAAGTGTTAGTATGAATGAAAGTTGTTTTTACACAGATCGCCCTGAGTGACTCAGCATTTCTAGTTTGTATCTTCAATAGAAAACGGTTACCAATGAAAACAAGAATAGGCTGAGAGGTTTTCAAGAGTATCAGAAAAGACTTTGAATACACTTGCATAAAGTCAAACCCAATATTCTGAGCTCACTCTCTCATAAGAGGTCTCAGACTTTTGGAGGCCATTATATGCTGACTGAGTTAGGGGTCAGTTTTATCATGTCTCCTCTCTATGCTGCCGCTGGAGACTTTACAGAAATCACGGACATCAACAGCTTAAAGGCGTAACCTTTAACATCAACTTGGAACTATGACGTCCATTTTAATTATGCATTATCATCATTGGATTCTGTCATCTTTGTTGTAGCTCCAACATTTTGTCATTTGCCTGTCATTCAGTAAACTGAGTTCTTATGAATTCATTCCAACAAATGTAAGGCTGCAACTTGAAGCAATTATTACAATAAATAATCTTAAATCTGAAGATAAACAAACTTATAACAAACCCAACTGAGAAAAAAACATCACTGTTACTGGTTTTCGGACGTGAACTCAGGACTGAGACGAGGAGAGACTCTGGCTGCAGCAGCAGCAGCAGAGATGTGCTGGAAGCAGTAACTATTTGAGTCTGAAGTGAGACTCACTGCCCTGGGCGCTCATGTAAAGACTCGTGGTTAGATTTCGGTCTTCACAATTCACCCCCAGCACTGTATGTGTTTGCATTTATTTATGAACAAGTGTTTGTTTACTGCTGTAGATTTGTATTAGAATACATTGACACTGTTTTTGTGGAAAGTACATTATACAGATGCATTATACTTTCATGGGTATCAATTCCTAAATGAATAATGAATAGATTTATTTAGTTATATGTTTAAGTATAAGGTATCCTTCCTCCCAGGCTCTAGTTCACTGAAATGTTGTAGACACTCAGTTGTCAGGCTTGGACCATATCAATGTATTAGAGTTTAAGTAAAATAACCCACCACACTCAAATCTGACCCATATTTTTGTTGTGAGTACCAGGGGGCTGTGGGCCATCAGAGCCACACCAGCGTGGGTTAAACCTAACCAGCTTTGGTGTCTCCGTGACAGGATTGCCACATCAAATGTGAGGGCTGTCTCCTGCTGTGGCATCCTGTTGGTACAGGCCCTTTCATGTCCTGTTAACACCCGAGGCTTCAATGCACTTTCCCAAATCCCCAGTGTAACTAGGACATGATGAGGGTGGTGTGTATGTGTCTACATGTGTGGTCAATTGTCCTCTGATAAATGTGTGTCCTATTTTTTGGGGCCATTACTGGTGTCCATGTGCACTTATAATGAGTAACGATGGTTTCAACTTTAACTGGAGGGTCAAGAATAAATACATCTTCTTGGTTTTCTGTCTGCTTTTGTAGACATGATATAATCACGATTTAACCAAACAAAATTTGTTTTGATATAGTGTTTGACCCAATGACGCCTGTTTCCTCTGCTGAAACAGATGATTAATCAGTGACTGTTTAGAGGAGGGCAGGATTAAGAATGATGGTGGTACCTCGCCGGCACCAGTATCTAAAGCCACAGGCGTAAAAACAAAAACTGACCAGCTTGGATGAGCTGCACAAGCCAATGTAAATCAATTTCCTGAAGAAAAAAACATTTTATTTTATGTATGTATTTCTTTGATAAAAAACCTTCCACAGCAGCTTGTATGTGTTGAGCCTACAGGGTTTCTAGTAACTTAAAAAAACCTGTGGTTTTCTCCCAGTTGTGTTGTAGCCTACCTAAAATAATAAATATCCTGCTGTCTACATTATAGATCTACAGCAGCAAGTTTAAAACAAACCAAATTATTTCATGAGATGAACTGCTGAGGTTTTTGTCCAGACGCTATCATCACCATATATATGTTAAATAATACTTGTGATGCTGCACAGTCAGGATGTGTTGCACTGTTGTTCCTTGTATTCTTCTGTAACTGTGTAACATTTTGAGTATTTGTTTGTGTTGTGTCTGCAGTTTATCAACTTGGCACTGAATATGAAGTACAGCCTAGTGAGTCTGGTGTTTGCAATCTGTCTGGCACTGCAATGTGTTGCATCAGTGAAAGCAGAGCAGGGCAAGTGGTCCTTCGTAAAGGAGCAAGAGTTTATAACCTTGAGGTGGACCACTCCATTTTCTTTTTTAAATTACATTTTGAATCTCACTGAGGGATAACTTTCAGAACAACAGCTGACACATGCAGATGTGTAACCCTGTTAAATATTTAGCATATTGAGAAGTGGTTATATAAGCTGTCACAGCCCCCTCAAGAATAGCATTGTTAATTTATACTGCATGAGGTGTACTCAGCTATGACTTTGTTGAATGAATTACTGGCTACTGTGGTTTAAAGCCAATGTTAAGATAAAGAAAAGTTGCTGCTCATTGTGTTTGTTGGAGCTAATTTAATAGTCCTCCTCAGCCCTCATCTGTCTCTCCTCCAGCCTCAAACAAGTGCCGACCACAAAGCGCTCTGACTCCAACACACAGACTACACTGTGACTGACAGCTAACTTTTTACAACAAAAAAATACACCAGATCACACATTTTTAATATATTAGGGCTTCATCCTTAAAGTAAAATATGTACATACCTTATGTATTTTGCAACTCAGCTGACTTATTGCTAGGATTAATCTTACAGGCCTTGGGCTGTGCATTCAGCTGTTGTTTTTGAAATATACGGGTAGAAATTGTATGAGACATACATTTTGCAGCCTTTGCTTTTTGGAGCCTTGAAGAATTCAGCAGCTAAAATTGGTTCAAGTCCAAAACAATTTAAAGAAAAAATTGCGACACCGTTTGAAAGCAATAGAATTTCACAGAGAAGGTCGTGACCCATCAACAATGTTCTTTCTCGCCAGAATATATTCCAACACTCACACGAACACACACATGCTCTCCCACAACACCACCTGTCTAATACTGGGCTCAGTTTGTGGCTTTATTCTGTCGCATGAAGCAATATCCAGACCTGTTTGTTTTGAGATGGCCTGTCTTCTTGTTATCACTCACTGTTAACTTGTTTGGAGCTTTAGCTTCCAGACTAAATTCATTGACCAAAGAGAAATTTAAAAAACGTAATATACTTGCACATTTAGTGTAGTTTTCTAACTTATGTTCATCTAAAATAAGAAATTATTTAACAGAAAAGTAGAGAAAAGAATTACAAATACGTCAGTGATTACAAAAATTGTAAAAAGTGACATGTATAGATATTGCATTTCTAAACCAAACTATTCCTTTAATTTTAAAAATCTTGAATGTTATCTCATAACTTTCTAGATGAAGTGGTGTTCACGCTGTTGTAGGTCCTCCAAAGTGTGGATGGAAAATTTTACCAAGTGTTTTGTTAATCGCGATATTTTGTTCCACAGTGCATCAGACCTCTGCTGGTATGTGATCACCTAATGTGTCTGCAGCATTTCATTGTGTCATGAATGTATATAAATGTGACTACAAATGTACTTTAAATTGTATATTCCAGTTGTTTTTCTGACGCGTACAAAACATCAAACTTTGTTTTCATGACAAGAAAACGAGAGATGGACAGAGGGAGGGAAGTTTGTCTCATTCAAACTTCCTTCCCTCATGTTTTTTTATTATCGCCTGCTTGCTGGTCATCCGGTCAAACTTCTTGCTGAGTCCAGATGGAGTCAGTCAGGGGTGAACACTTGTGCCGAATATCAAATTCAAAACCAAAAATCTGTCTTGTATGAATCAGAGATGAACAGAATATGGGTGGAGGTGGACAAGAAGCAAAATGGAAAGAAGAAGAAAGCAAGGCAACTTGACAGTACTTATGGAATGGAAAACATGAACAGAAGGGATTGTGCAACTACTTTTGGTGCCACATGGGTTGAAATCAATGTCTAGAGTTGGAATAACTGAAATCTGTGGTATTCATCATTGTTTTGGCTTTTTTTTATTTATATGGGCAGGCGTCACTGAGATTTTTCAGTTTGTAACGATGACAAATAATATTTTTCATCCTGAGAGCCACCCCGGCTTGTGTGTACCTCCGTGTTATGATCCTGCACAACTTGACAGTCAGTGCACCTCTCACCCTCACTTCTCAGCCATTAAAATGCAAAACGATCGATCTAATCTTTTTCTGCTTTGTGTTTTGGCCCGTGGCAGGTGACTGACATCAAAGAGAGGCTGAAGGAGTCCAAGAGGTTCTGGTCCAACCTGCCAGATGACATCTGCGCCAAGGGCAAACTCACGGAATCTGACGATGAGCAGTGCTGGAACAGCCACACGAAGGGCAGGTAAGGACTTCTGCAGCTCTCTATAACCACAGCAAAATCACCACGCTTCACTACGGTTATCACATTTTGCCTGCCAGGGATTAAAATAACCACACTGTGTTCCCAGATTAACACTCTCTCTGTAAGTACAATGGTTAGTGCTTATATGGAGAACCTCTTAGCTCCAAGGCTCTAATACTCGGAGGACCGTGCAGTTTCCAACACCTCTTATCACCACTGCAGCGTGTAGAATATCGCAGAGTCGCACAGTAGATTGGACAGTGAGTTGTTTTCTCTGACAGTGAACCAGAGACGCTGGCAAAGGAAATATGTCAGCCCATTACTTTGGCCCTGTCCGAGTAACAAATTTACCAGATGGTGCGATAAAAGACATGTTCTCTTCTTGGTGCCAGGACCATTTTTAAGCATCGCTCTAAATCTGGTAGGTAAATTGATTGCACAGAGACAATAAAATGTCAGTAACAGTCAGACTGTGTTACAAATGTGTTTGTCAGCTATTCTCCTGTCAGCTAAAAACTATGCACACTTCATTTGGTATAAAATAATTTAAAGAGCTACAAAATTAAGGGATACATGTTGACATTACACACATGCACATGTTTATAAACATAAACAAGAATTGAATAATCCCAACATGAAATGGTCCATTAAGCCTGATTACACACTTATGTTGTGTCATATTTAAGCCTCTAGTTTCGGTTGTATCTACTTTTGAGTTCTCAGCTTGTCACACGAGATGAGTAGATACACACACACGGTCCCCAATTTCAAGAGATTTTCTGCAGGATGAGTGTTTCTGTGGAGAAACCAGTGAAAGAAAATGGAAGACATGATGGAAGCACAAGAGTCTGACTCTGCAACCAACAACAACTCTGAAACAGCTCTGTGTCTGTAACTTGGTTCGATTGCATTGGTTTGGCAGAGAGAGATCTACTAAGAAAACATCATAGCAGAGACGAGTAAATAAAGGAAACTTCTTCATCACTTTGACAACAGAAACTCTAGTCAACTCTGTCAGCCTCCGAGCAGCAGATTGCCTCAGATTCAGTGTCACTACATTCACATGCACAAAATGTTCCACTTTTATGCCCTTATTAAAAAAAGTATTCTATAGTTTAAATGAATATTGAATATGAACATTAATATTTTACAATATTTTGCATGCAGCCCCGCGTTTCATGGGTAATGTACCCATATGCTTCATATACAGCTATGCCCTCTATAGCTTCAATTCAGTTCAATTCAATTTTAATATCGAGCCAGATCTTGACATATTCTGACATATGCATCTTATATGTTTCCAAAGATCCTCTCACACCCAAATGATACTGACATGTCCTGTGTCTTAATTCACAATATCCCAAAAATACTATATTGTCATAATCGGAATATTAGCGTGCATCTAAATGTACTAATTGATAATTCATTTATATATTAGTTAATGATGTGTAGCACAGAAAACTGTTTTACATCACATACTTAGCACTTTCCTTATATTTGGCAGGAACTTGAAAGAAAAACTTTTTATCCTGCATAATATAAAGATATTTCTCATTTAAACTTGATGTACTTGGGTGTTATCTTAAAGGACAAGATCCCACTTGTCTTGGCTTGTGCAGACGGTTGAAGCCTCATATAAGCAGCATATTAACTTTGGCTGAACTTTCTAATACATTTTGGAAAAGATGGAGACCTTTGAATTTCTTTGAGGCCAGTATCAAGAAGAAAAAAAATTACAGCAACTTTTTTCTGTCCTGCATCAAGAGAGGATTGAAATCCTGGGAAAATATTATTTAAATCCAAGCTGCAAAAGCCTTTCATATGCCAACCAGAACAGGTAATGTTACTTGTGCTGGCAGTAAAACTATGGGAATGTTAGATGCTGAGTAAAGTTTTTTGGTGTGTGATCTGTCCAGATATTTCCCCGAAGTGGTGAAAGAGGGTCTAACCAACCAAGTGAACAACCCAGAGGTGGATGTGGATATCACCAGGCCTGACACACTGATTCGGCAGCAGATCATGGCTCTACGTGTCATGACCAACAAGCTGAAGAACGCATATAATGGAAATGACATCTACTTTCAGGACTCCAGTAAGTTCTCCAGTCTCTCTGGTATTTAGAAGTTCAGGTAGAGACAAGATGATGATAAACGAAAACACATGAATTCCTTCATGTCCTGCCTCCTGCCTGCTTTACTCAGTCATCGGAATGTTCCAGACTTTCTCCTGTTGTTGTGAACACATCTAGCCCCGACAGTCTCCTGCTGTGTTCTTCATATGTGAAAGGTGAACTCTGGAAAATGTCCAGACCCCAAACCCTAACCTCATTCTCACCTGAAATCTTAATCCAGTCTCGTTCGTGTTTTAAAGTTTTAAACCTAAATTTGTCCTCACAACTATAGGAAGACGTGTACACACACACACGTACACTGACTCCTGCTGATATACAGTTGGCCATAAACTGTTATTACCAAAATAAAATCTCAGGTGTCTTTCATGTAGCAACTCATCATACAACTTCAGAGGCAGCATCAGAGTTGCAGTGAAGCAAGGCTGCCATTATTAGGAGAATAAATAGCTGTAGCTACGGTGACACCGACAGTGATGTACATCTCAAATCCTGCGATGACAGAAACCATTCGTTCTGTCTGACTCCGCGGATCCTCCCGAGCTGACAAGCTGAGAGAATCTCCGCACCACAAATAAAACGTGTGGCTGCACGACTACTGCCACCACATCTTGTACCGTAACTCCATTTTAGTTGCTGTCACATATTCGTTTTTTTTTATTTTAGGAGTTGTTACACATCAAACATTGTGTGCTGGAGAAACTACAATTGAGGCATAGCATTGCTGTAGGTTTACAGGTTTGCATTATACCCTGGACAAAGCAGTCTGAGCACTTCCTCTTGACGCTGAGGAAACATTACTTTGTCACTGCATTTCATCCAAATAACATTTCACTAGAATCTTGTGTGTTTGCACAAAGAAGGTGTGATGCAACATAGAGGTACCTTAATGAAAGTTTAAAGGAAGGCAGCTCCGTTATTACCTCCACCATAGATCAAGGTTATGTTTTTCCCCTGTGTGTGTTTGTTGGTTTAGGTTATCAGACCACTTCCTTTTTTCTTTTATATTCCCACCTGAAGAACGAGACAACCGTGTGTAGGACTGTTCGGCCTTGGTGGAGGTCTGTGCTCTACTCAGTGTCTAGATAAACTGAAAACACAGTACATGTTCGCTGATGAGCTATTAACCTTGCAAATAGAGTGTGGCCTAGTTTTATTCTAAACTAAATTGAGCAAGCTTAATGAAAACCTGCTACTGAACTGAAGACATTGAAAATCAGGGGGGGATGCAATCACTTACGGGTGCGTGTACTGAAGTTTATTCATTAAATGATTCAAATTCACAAAATGAGTCACCAAGGTTTACCAAAAAAAAGCTTTCAGTAGAAACCAGAGCTTGATTCGTTAATTTCACTTCAACAAGTGTCATAAAAGCTGCTGGGGACATCACTATTTTTATGTTTAAGGTTTAATACATGTGATTCTCTTGCTGCAGGTGACGAGGGCAGTAGCTCCGGCAGCGGCAGTGGCTGCTCCGACGGCTGCACAACCGAGTTTGTATTTGTTGGAACAGAGGCTCCTGTAATCGGAGCTGACAGGAGCGACGAACGCGCAGCAGCAGCCGCGGGCAAGTCGCTTTGCTGTGTACCCTCCGTTCTCCTGGTGATGGCCGCCCTCACACTTTGGGCGATGCAGACTCAATGGAGATAATACACGAGTGTGGCCTGATCACTGACTCCTCTACTGTATACGTACAGTATGTTTAACAGCAAGTTCTACTGCTGTTCCCTCACTGGACATGTAGAACCTCCTGGAACCTTGTGGAGAGTGGCTGACTGTGTGGTTGGACTGGAAGTGAGTGCAGTGCTGCATCCTGCTCGTCTCCCAAAGAATGCTGATCACTGAACCAGCTTTCTCATCTCTGATAAAAAAAAAATAAAAAAACAGAAAAGAAAATGTTTTCTCATAATTCCGAAGTGGATTTTGAAAAACATGTTTCTCTTTCAGAAGGTCACACCATCTTGAGATGGCTCGTCAATGATTTTTCAGATAAAGGGGAATCTATTTTTCTTTGTATGATGAAGTCGTGAAAACAAGTCACCCATTTTATCCTATTAGTCTTCTCCCCCTCAGACAAAAGGATAAAGTCTTACTGTGTGCATGCATGGAAACGATGTTAACTGACAACAACATTTTTTAGATTATCTTTAATGCAGGCTACACAGTTTTTGGAATTGATTGGTTGGTGCGGGATCGTACAGAGCTGGCAGTTCACCTGGTTTCCCGTTTGGTCATATCAATGCAGTGTCAGGAAGCAGCAGTTCTTTCAGCCACTTTATAGTTGCACATTTAATTATCTCTAATGTAATGCACTGAGAGAACTACTTTGCACAGATTATTTTTGTTGGCTTCATAAGTTTATAAAGGAAACATTCACCCCATAGAGAAAGAAGATCTATATTTTCAGGTCATTGTACTGATTGTATTGTACTTTAACAGTTACAGTATGTATTTTACAGGAAGGTACTGTAATGTAATCTTACTGGTTTAGTTAATGGCTACATTTCTCTAAATGTATTATTTGTTTTTAGAAGTTATTTGATCACCGTAAAATGGAAACGTTTGCAGCAACAGCAAGCCATTACGTTACACTTCTGCAAACATTGTTAAGTTACCTGATTTACACTCCTCTGTTTGGGTATTTAACATTCACCTAAACAGTCCTTTTTTAATTCACAGAGTATATTGGAAAAACAAATGAAATACTTATACTTTTCTTGGCTTTATGTTCATTATTTCTGATTTATTTTCTATGTTTTTCACATGCAGTTCTCTTACAGGCTGTGCTGGTTTACCCCCTCACGTTTTACGAAGCACCACATTGAAATTTGCATGTTCCTGCTAATGTCCATGTTCCGGTTAATGAGAACAGACCCACCACCCCTACAGGCTACAGGTTGTAGAAGTGGTCATGTACAAAGTCACCAACTGGAAAAGAAGCGGGGTGCCAAGGTTACAGGGCTCTGACTGTGCTCTTAGAATTAGTGTTACTATTCATAACCTTCATTTTATCTCCTACTGGCTTTGACCTCTAACAGGCTCAGTGTGCAAAAGCCCATAGCTTTGCGCTGCACCAACACAACACAATGGCATTGACCTCTGGTCACTTATAAAAGGCAGGATCCAGAAATGTTGCAGGCATCCTACCGAAACAGACTAGGGGGCAAATGTTCACAGTCACATAAAGGGGCCTTTGAGGCACCCACTGATGTGTGTGTGGAGGCTCCAAGCTCATAAGCACCTGAAATGCTCCTGAAATAATTTCAAATAGCCAATGACTAAGTCTCTTGTCTCAATGGGGATTCACACCCCACTGCCCTGACGGATTACCAGCTGATTTGAGCACCTTTGAAGAGATCAGGCATTTCATGTTGCAGAGTGACATTAGTTTTCCCTCTCTGATGCAAGCATGACGGAAGACTGAAAAATAACATCCAGTGGAACCGTCCCTCTAAACCTGAAAAAGCTATCTGAAATTCTAAGGCACATATAAAAGGTGCAGGTGATCTGTCGTCCCTCTGTAGACTCTCAGACAACTAGAATAGACTGATTGCTAAAGTCTTTGGCACCATAAGGGAGATCTCTTCTCAGCGGGCTCATATGGCTGACAAGAGGGACCCCAAGAGAAAAACCTAACTCCACAGGAATCCCTCTGCAGAGCAGATGACCCACATCACCTCACTCCCTGCAGAACCACAGCCACACACCAGACCCAGCATGATTAATTTCAATCACTGATGCATACGCCCTAATTGTGTTCCATGACAGAACAGTGTAAAAACTGAACAAATCAACGAAAGGTCAACATCAAAGTGTCCAATTTAGTAAAACATCACAGACGGATAAACCGGATCCATCCTACTGTTTTGTGTGCATTTTCAATTTTCTCATAAAAAAACATCTCCACAAATAAAAAATGATGTTAAGACCAACACTACAATCAAATACTTAAAGCTTTTGACTGACACATCCAGTAAAGACACAAAAATGGCAGCAGACTTAAACATATTGGACCGATACGTGATTTTCACTTTCCTCTTATTAGTGCAAATAAAAAAAACATATTTCCATCACTTTTTCTTGACCGTTTTCAGCCTTTTGATGCTTGACTGCAGCTCCTTAAATGAAGTCAGCTAGTCCAGGTAGATTGAATTGAGCCAAGTGAATCCAAGGATTGGAATAAAGATATTAATCTGCAAAGCCACAGAGAAATGGTCACCAGTGGAAGAATGGGAGATTTTCCATCCATGGGTCAACGTCATTAGTTGAGGGCAGGAATGAGCTAAAAAGTGTTGATAAAGTTGAGATCAATACAAAGACGAGGTCATCTTTTTATAATCGTATGAATCTCATTGGTCTTGTTGCTTTTTTGGTCACTACTGGAAATTGTACGTTCAAATGCAACCTGTGTTTTTAAGATGTGGGTCAGTGAATGCATTGTAATGTGCCAAAAAAGTACATGCAAGTATTCAGTGCATACTGCAGGGGTGACTGTGCCTGCAAGCCTGTTGAGCCTTTTCTAGGTCAAAGCCTGTATGAGACAGAACCAGGGGGAACAATGAAAAGCAAACACATGATCACAGTTTACCCAACTTTTAATATCTAAAATGCAGTTTTTTCAAATGTTCATGCAGATGTTAGGTGGGTCACACTCTTGGCCTACTTTCCTCTTGGATATCTTAGATTGCTTGTGTGTAATCTGGTTCATCTTGGTGTCTTTACATGAGCACAGAGAGTCCACCACCAGGCTGATGTGTTGAGGCGAGACCATCTGATCCGCAGTCTCAGTGGCTCAGACGGATGAGTCAGACAGGGGGTAGTTAGACCGAATGGACATCCAGCAGTAACCATTCATAATGTACTAAATATTTAATAAATTATTATTAAAGTAATTAGCTGTCAGGCCTGATGTGCAGCAGCAGTTATCCCGGTCTGTTAGGATTTAGCCACCCACCAGTCCCGCAGAGGAGTGGAGGAAGTTTCATGTAAAAATCATGGTGTGTGAAATGGGGCCGTTGGAGCTCATGAAGCTCAGAATAATATTTCAATTTTAGCTTCAGATGTTTACATTTCTCTCTTGATACTGAATGTTCTGGCTCTTACAATTAACTTTCATTTTCATGTTAGGTGCAGTGTCCTATCCTAAATCTAGACTCGTGTGCAGTAAGACAATTGCATTCAGATGATATTTGTGTTTTGGTGATTCTATAATTGGTAAATGAAATAAATATACAGCATACAACAGGTGGAGAAAAGAGTCAATTGTACAAGCGTGTAAGTGGTTTATTTATCGCTGATGACAAACAGCTATATGAATTCAGTTTGCAAGTATTAGAAAATATTGTGGGGCAGATATTTCTGAGTCAGGGTGGGAAGTGAGGCAGAACAATATGTATAGAGTGTTTTCGATAACAAGGCAGGAAGTTCGACTTGTGGCGTCAGGTGCTGCCTCCTCAGTGAAGCTTAATGAACATGAAGGTGTAAAAACTCTTCAGCCGTACAAAGGTCGACTGCACCGGAAAAACGGGATCTGTGGCTGCAGCAACAAGAGATTAGACGGCGTGATGATGAGGCCCATCCTGATTAGTGTTCCTGAAATACAGCAACGGAAGTGAATCAAGACAAATCTGTTTCAGACGACGGTCAATTTTTTTCCAGAGAGCTGGTATCATTACAGTCTTCTCCAATTACACCAAAATGGTACATTTGTCTTTTCGCTCTGCCTGTGTATTCCTCTCATTCCTATCGAGCTGTGTTATCCAGCTCTGACTTCTTCAACACTTGATTTGTCTTTGTTCCTTTTCTCTTTCTTGTCTCATTAATTCTCTGGCATTTAAAAAGCTGAAAAAAAAAATTAAATTGTGTTTGGCTGGGGTTTTATTCAGAATGTTCAAACAAAATGTGTTATGCAAGGTCTTTTCCATTTTGATGTGAATCATTTGTTGCACTTTTGCTAAAACATACTGTATGCTGTGAGTGTGGTTCTGTTGTGATTTGCAAAATCCGATAACTAAGGAGCACATTAAGATTTTTGGAGCTGTCAGTGCACGCTGTTTAAAGTGTTTGGGGGGGACTGGAGTTGATGGTTATACAAGCAGACATGCCTTACCATTTTTTAAAAGACTAAAATGGATTGCTTATTTGGCTTTTGTTACACATTCTTGTATACAGAAAATAATACAAAGTAAAAAATAAAAATAAACTTTTTATTAAAAAATAACTGTCTTTCCTGCAATTATCTCTATGTTCGCTCCACTCTGATTTCTATCCTGAGAAAATGGTTGAATAGTTATTGTAAAGGAACTCAGAACAAAAACAACCTTGTTCAGACATTTTATTTATGTCATTTATAATGTTTTATCTAATCTGTATTTAATATAGTAAATAGTACATAAATGTACACATGCAACATCCTGCAAAGTTTACCTGACCTAAACTCATTTTACCAGATGTGTAATCTGTGATACATGTCAGTCAGCCGAAGCTACCATTATATAAATTATTGCCGTCTGACCCAAATTACTAATTTACTGGATTGAGATGTTTTAAATTTACTTTTGTAGAAACTTGAAAAGCGATTAAAACTAGAACTGACTTTTGTAAAATATGGGGTCTCTGAAAATGTTACTATATTGAGAGAAACAGATCACTTACATGAAATCTACAAGAGCCTAAATACACATCACAGACCTAAGGAATAAATTACATCAGCATCACGAGGAAGAGAAGTCAGACTTGTTTTCTAATTCACCTTTTCTTCTGTGGCTGAATTTGAAGATCGACTATGCTGTCCCATTTCGAGGGCTGCTTCAGATAATGACAAATGTTTCTCAAAGACATAAAGGCGGCAGCAGGCGACAATGAAAAATATATGATGCTTAGTTTTTTAAATGTGAGTATGAGGCTTCAGTTTAACCAAACAGCTGATGGTACACATGTTTAAAAGTGACATTAAAACTTTCTCATTGAGTCTAACTGCAGCTCTGTGGCTGCAACAGCGGAAAGGAACGGAACAAGTTAGTGACGCAATTCTCTGAAAAACCAAACCGCCTCATTTCAGTGTCCAGGTGAATGTCACCTCCTTCATGGGCTGGGTGGGACACAGAGCAGGTAGGGCTAATTATTTGTATGTTAATCTAAGTTAGCTAAGTTCTTTATTGCGATTGTGTCACAAAGTTACTTTTTAGCTGAATTAGATTAGCGTAGCTAAATCAGACGTAAATTAAGGAAGTAAAAGTAAATTTGAAATGTTTATTTTAAACTTAGTGTTAATATGTTTATGATGTTCATGCTGCCCTCTGTCCTGTCGTCTGTCTGCTGCAAGCGCAATGCATGATGGTATATATTGCTCGGTTAGTGACCATCGATGCAACATTACTTTTCACGATGCATTGTGGGAAAGAATTTATGCACTTTATAGGGAACAAGCAGAGGATTGATGAGCAGAGTTGGAGCTGCAGAATGAAACAGAGGCAGGGCTGTGTGTTTGCATCAAGGGGGGTTTTACACTAGCTGCTCCGTGATCTTATCATGTGCCCCACTGGCAACTTCAGAAGTGCCCCTCGGGGTCCAATTACCCCTTAGTGAGATTCACTGGTCCACTTGGTCTGAGGGTCGGGTTCTGTAAGGAGACTCTTTTGGGATTTTATCCTTACTTCTGGAGAGTGTAATTTCTCAGCAGTATTTAAATATTCAGTCAAAAGTAATTTTAGTTTA